ATGAATGAAATCGTCAGCTCTCAGCCAAAAACTGGGTTATAAATATGGGGAGAAATATATATTAGTTACTTCTGTGTATAAGTCACAGGACTTGCAAATTTATGCAAAAAGGTGTGACTTATATGTTGGAAAATACAGTATTTTTTGGCATTTTGCTGGTGATATGATAGAGTGGGCATGGTTCAATTCAATTTATGGCCGTTTAATTCTTTTCACTAAACTGGAGCTCTAGAAAAAAATGTTGTCTACCTGGGCTGTAATTAAGATTAAACTACTGATGCTCACAATGACGTGACGTTTTTCTTTCCTTACTGTCATTTCTTACAGGAAAAAAAAAAAAAAAGATTAGCATTTTCTCACTTTTGCTGTTCGATGTTGGTTTTGATTTGCTTCACTGGAAATACTTTGAGCATTTGTCTAAAAGAAACAGTTTAAAGTATTTTACCTTTAACTCTTTCTATTCTTCTCCAGGCAGCATGTTTCAGAGTGAGGGACACCTCATCAAAGAGTGCTCATTGCTTTTTTTTTTTTAAAAAAAGGGTTTTGAGGAACATTTACTTTAAAAAATCATCTGGCTTTCAATGGTTTTCAGGAACAAACACTAATAACCTAAAATAAAATTATAGACTTTAAAATAAAAACAAAGAAAACACAAAAATCCTACTGTGTACAAAACAACCTTCAGTTATATACATTTCAGTATTTGTTACAACATAAATATTCCTTTAAAAACATTTTCACCAACATTGTCCAAGTCATTATTACCAGTTTAATTAGCCTGATTTAGCATTACAAAGAAGAATTGGCTGATATTATAGGGCCAATTGATTATGGAACATCCATTGGTGTTTAAAGTCTGCAGCCTGTGACAGAGCTGCTCCTATTTGTATTCGATCCTCATATTCTCCAGCACCTGCTTCTAAATTAGCCACATTAAACCTTCAATGATACAAGCATTCAAAAAGCAACCAACTAAAATTACACCCCCCAGTAAATGTAGCAAGAAGTCAAAGGTCATTTGTGAATGATTTTTCCCTCGGCCCTCTGTTCTCTGCAGCCTCACGGAGCGCCCACTGACATCAGGTCTGTAATGATCACTGCACTGAAGCATGAAACAAAGAAATAGCATCTGCCCGGTGGAGGAAGGGAGGAGAGCCATCCAAACAGCCAGTCGATCTTTCCATGAGTGTATCGGAATAAAACACAGCGAGGCAGATCCTTGAAATAAGCTCCACAGGGGGAGGAAAAAAAAAGGAGATCACAGTCGAATGGGTTTTATGACAAAAGTCTGAAGAGGAGATGAAATGAGGGAACTGGTGAGGGGCGCTCATAAAATCTCAGCTGTGAGATGATCAGCCAGTAAAGCAGTCCCACTGGGGTGATTAATCTGACTAATGGTGGATAAAAGCTAAGCAGACCGAAAGGCTGTACAAAGATAAAAAGTCAAGAAATATCTGGATAGAAAACGTTCATATTTATACAAACGTGCTGCTCTGCAGGATTTACGCACCAGGTTAGAGTGAGATGGTTTTCAGTCATTCTCACCCGTTTTACAAGTCGGTCGCTCCTTGTGCTGAATTTGTTGTCATTAAACTTCAACTGAAAAACTTAAAGGATAGAAAATGAGAAATATAAAACAAGCTACAAATATTTCTAGAGAATAATTAGTCATGATCTTCCTTCGTGCTTGTCATGTGTTGTTACTGTTGATGTGATTGCCACTTAGTGGTGTGGAATAGCTCTTTCAGCATCTTTCCTGCTCATTTTTTTCCAGCCAAATTGTTTCAAAAACGAAAAAGGCTCAATGCTGAAGCAGCACTTGCATACCATATTTTTCAGACTATAAGGCGCACTTAAAATCCTTTAATTTTCTCAAACATCGACAGTGAGCCTTATAATCACCTTTTGTATTAATTCTGGTTGTGCTAACTGACCTTGAACCAATTTTATGTGGTACAGGGCGCTCAAAAATCTGTCAAAATGAACTTGTTTCGCTTAATGCGCCTTATAGTCTGAAAAATACGATAATAAAAAAAAATCTACTAAAAACAAAGATTAATGACACTAGCATTCATTGAAGGAATGCATATCACCCACCACATTTTATGCTATAGTTTCAAACTAATTTTTTTTTTTTTTATCAATTAGCTCTCAAGTATGTGATGGGGATAAATCTCAGCTACCACCTCACCAAATGTTAGTTTGATTTGTGTATAATTGACTGAAATAGATCCATTTTTGTTCACATTAAAATATAGCTTAAATCAAGTTGACTTCAAAAGGTAACCACTTTGATATGTGCATAAAATTCATACTTTTTGAGCTTTAACTGCAATCTGTCTGCTGATGCATGAGATATTTTGCTAACAGACAAACAGTGTTAACCAACAGCTTTCATGCCACCTGTTAGCACTCAAACTATGTGCTGGTGGTGACTCTTAGCTACCACCACATCAAGTTTAAGCCCAAATCCTTTAAAATTGAGTTAGATTTTATTTATTTTTTTGCACTTTTTAAAGTTTGTTATCCATGGCAGCCATCTTGAGTCAGTTTCACTCCAAAAGGTGATTAGTTGTAGGTGTGTACATTTACTTTCGAAGAGTTTTATTACAATGTGCTCAGTCGTCAATGAAATATTTAATAACAGACAAGATGACCTGTCTGTCATGGCAGAGGGTGATAAAAAGTTTCAGTTTTGTTTCATAAAGACACATTTTCTTGTGAAGTAATTTAGAAGAAAAAAAAGAGGAATAAAAAATGGTGCCTGCAGGTGTTATTTTTTATTAGATTTTTTTTTTGTAGCAGGTTTATAATTTTATTATGGTGTCTATGATAAACACTACATGGGTTAGTTCACTCCAATAAAACAGGAATGTACAGCCGTTTCATAAATCTTAGTACAATTGCAAATACTGTGCCTTTCCTTGTTCAAGCAAAACGCTTAATGATAAAACTTTTCTCCCCCTTTAACATCAGAATGTGCCAATAGAAAGCTTGATTTAGCCAACAAAAAAATTGCATATCGTAGTTTCACTTCACTTTACACGCTATGATCCATACAAGCAGGTGTCCCGAGAATTAAAGCTGCCCCTTTAAGATGGTTTACAGATGTGCTTTTATTTTTAATGCACCAGCAGCAGCAGCTGGACTGGTGTTGGAGCAGAGCCTTTGAACAACAGTCCATGAGCACATAACATTGCACAGATACACAATTGCACTAAAGTTAAAGGCAGCAAATTAAGCGTTTTTATAAAAATGTCTGAGCCCATGAATGTAGCTCCACCCTTCTTTGGTTCACAAATACACCAAAAACAGGACATGACTGGTCATCAAAGCATTGGTTAAAAAAAATAAAATTAAAACAAACAAAGGGATACAATACAAATCGAATAGCGAAGCAGACAAACTATTCACAATAGTAGTTTCTCTATATAAATTTTGAATGACTGATTTACATATACAATTGGTTCACTGAAAAACTAGGACACATTTGGCACAAAATGTAACAATACTTTACACGATCTTCATAAAAGTCTAAAAACACGGCAGTCGCTAACAGAGATTGATTTAAATGTTCCACCTTCAGTCGTAACTCTAAGAGAAACATCAGCTACGATTCTGCAATTCAACCACTCTCAATTTTAACATACAAATACTAATAACATACAATATGTCAGTAGAATGTAGTTCGTGTCAACACTAGAAGGGGAATTATGTGAAAGCTTTTTAAATATCATTGGGTTTTTAGCACTGATCAACAAGAAAAGGACATACTTGTCCGCTGCCTTTTATAGAATCATCAGCGGTTTAAATATTCTATTTTCTTGTTTCCAAAAAAGTGCGAGTGCTTTACAACCAGATCCTTTAAATCTT